GCTTCCCCTTGTCTCGTTAGGCCTGATTTGCCCCAGCTGTGTTTCCCTCCTGTTACCCATTCCCTGATTGCTCCCTCTGTGTATTTAAGCCCTGTGTTTCTCTGTGTCTGTGTCGGGATCTGCTGTTTATCTAGCTGTGTGTTCTGTCAGTCTTCCAGTGTAAGTTTATTTTGATATTTCCAGTTATGTTATATTTGAGTTTAGCATTAAAGCTGTTTTGAGTTCAAGTTTTGCCTCCGATTGTCTGCACCTTGGGTCCTATTCCTGTCTGCACACAGCCGTTCCATAACATGAATAAAAATGACAAAAATAAATATACCCTTCATATATAGAAACACACCCATGGCCAGGAATGTGTACATATGACAGAACAAGGGCAAACATGTCCACACACACAGAGATCAGATTCGAGCATACAGTTCACACTGATGACGTAAAAAAATCTAAAAGAACCACTAAACCAATTTTTCTCTCCTCAAAGAGGACAGCGACTTGTTCAGTTTTAGAGAGCGCAATGCCTGGGCATGACAAAAAAGGGCTGAATACACACACACACACACACACACACACACACACACACACACACACACGATACAACGGAGATCAGCCACCAGGCTGCATTGTTGCATAAGTGTTTGCGTAAGAAGACCATGGCAATCAGACAGGAGCTCCCACACAAGAACACACACGCACAGTCACACACGTACAGATACAAGGGCAGGACCATATACGCACATACACAATACACACATGCGTATAAGCACACACAGTGAAAAGGAAATGCAGAAATGCAGTGAAAGGAGAGCACAAACAGACCAAAATCAAAACACAAACACGTGCAACATCGTAGACACACAAACACCAGAATAATGTCTGCCAAATTACCCGCATTCATCATTTCTCATTTGATATATATAATTGCAAAATTCGGGAGATCAAAGATCCCGATGTCAACAATGCTCCACGCTGTGCTGGATATGGGTTTAGCCTACAGTATTTCATCTAAAAAATCAACAACAACAACAAAAGAGATAATCTGCACCACCTGCTGCTGTTTGATTATCAGCTTCAAGCATCATACTCCCAGCCTCATGTGACCATGGCTCCACTAAAGCAGGTGTCCCCACCCAGGGCACAGCCCCCGACATCCGTCACTGTCAGCAGGGGAAGACTTGTCAACACAATTCTGCAGCTGCAAAGATTTATGTCTTTGATGATAGCTACAAATGATTTTAAATGACTTTAATTCCACAGTAAAGAAATGTGATCAGCAGCTAAAAGCAGAATCATA